TCCTTACGCCTTCTATTATAAAAATTCGTTTATATTATTAAATATAAATGTCAGAAGTTAAAAATTCGGCTCACATACACAAAAGATTAAGAATGACTTAAAACTTACAGATAACATAAAATTACCAAGTCAGAGTTTTTCGTGAAAATAAACTTCTTCGTCGAGAGAATCTCATCCATGGGTTGTCGCACAATTATATATAGATAGATGTATCATTTTTAGTTCGATTTTTCTCTATTCCTACAAGTAGACAATACAAATAGTACCTACATGAAAAACTTTAGCAATCAATTAATCAATGATCATTTATAACAGCTAACAATGAAAAGTAATCAAATACATCGTCAGATGCCCGTAACTCCTAAGAGACAAACCTTGTCAAGTTAACACCTCATTAAGAGGCCGTTAATTATCCGCAACAAAAGACAAGAGCGAACAATACTACGGCCGATGATGGAGCACAAAATAAATAATTAAAGAAAAAATAAAAACTATCAAACAGTAATAAAAAATACTCTAAGCGTTGGGCACATCAAATAGGGCTAAAAATCGCAACTTTGGGACCAAAATTAAAATTTGCTAAAAGCTTATCAAATTATCTGATTTGATGAATTGCATATTTTTTTTATTTTAAGTTTTCTAATAGAAATTGAATATTTATATAACTTCAGCATTTATATTGGTTTAGCAATAACTTTTAAAATTGCTACAGCAGAGTTTTGAAATTTAGGCATGGTCCATTGTTCTACTCTTTGATAAATTTTATATAAACCTTTTAAAACAATTTTTCCTCAACAATTCATTATGAAAAATTGGCTTAGCCATTGTTCCACTTTTTGATGAATTTTTATATAAATCTTTTTTGTTTGTAATATAATATCTTAAAACCTTTGTAGATACTATCATCATGCATATTGTCAACAATTTTTTTTTCGACAATTCATTATAAAAATCGGCTTAGGTTGGAAGTTTTTGGTTGAAATATAATGTTTCAAAATATTATAAACACTATATTATCATTCAAATTGCCAACAAACTTTTCTTCAACAATTCAATATGAAAAATCGGCTTAGGCATCGTTCCAATCTTCAATGAATTTTTATATAAACCACTTTTGGTTGGAATATAATATTTTAAAACCTTTGTATATATATATATATATATATATAGTATAATACTATATCATCATATACAAATTGTTAACAAACTTCTTTTCAACAATTTATTATAAAAATTGGCTTAGGTATTGAACCACTCTTCGATGAATTTCTATATTAGCCTTTTTTGGTCGATATATAATATTTTAAAACCTTTGTAAACACTATATTATCATACAAATTTTCATCAAAATCATCAAAAATATTTTGTTCAAAAATTATGAAGAATTGGTTTAGCTCAAACCTTTGACTATAACTATTCTGCTAGATTCACGATTGATATCTTTCGAAGTTCTTCAATTATCAAATTGATTTCAATCAATTTTGGCATGTTGAAATAGTTTTTGATTAATATTATTCATCTAGTTTTTACTAATATAGTATATATTATAATGCTTGATATAGAAATTAAGTTATCTGAAAAAAGTAAAATGTTTCAAGATTTTATATCGCCAACTGTGAGAATATTAGAGAACACAATTTTTTATGATTTATATAAATTTCAATAGGCAAGTGTAAATAACTGTTTATACCATATATTAGTAAATTTTGTTTACTGTTGTTTATTATTAATAATAAATTATAAAACCCGCATCAATATAAAAGTTATTTGATAAAAATTAAAATTATTCTAAAACTATTTATTGCATATTTTCAAGGAACTAGTTCACTACGAATTATTCAAAATTTCAATATTTAAGTGCAAGTTTCAATATCCAATATTCAATATCCAAGTGGACTTTAGTAAATTTATCCAAGTGTAAATAACTGGTTGAACTAGATTCCAGTAAAATTTTTCTATACATATTTTACGGATGTATATAAAACAAAGAGGCCTTGGCAAAATTTCCAAGGTATTTAAAAATATAAAAAAAGTCTAATATCATATTGTTAAAATATTTACCAGAAAAATATTCCATTCAATTCAATTCAATTATTCAAAATTTAATTATATAGGTATACACAACAGTTTTTAATATATTTTAGCAGATGTAATCTGGCTTATACTACTAAAGTCTACAAATAAAATATTTTACAAATTTTCTAATAATTTATTCGTATAAAAAGTTGGATTATGGAAAGAAATATAGAAATAATTAAATAGAAATATAGAAAAAACTAGTGGTGTATGGCAACGTGCCTTGAGGAAAATTGCTGGAACTTTCCGTACCGAGTTCAAATTTTGAAAATCTGAATTATTTTCTTTATTAAATTTTTTTTGTTTTAGAAATTAAAAAAAGAAATATTCTTTAGTTTTTTTCCCGAAACAATCATTTCGCGCTTCTTTTTGAATCACTAAAAAAAAAGCATAATGTTTTTTGAATCATTCAAATCGGATGCTTATTGCTCAAAAAAAAAACTGCGATTTTTTGTACATTTTGCTCCGTGTTCTCTACAAAAACTAATAATCAGCACAATATCAGGTATCAATCTTTATATATCTCCGATACGGTTCTGTCCTAAATTCGATTCATTATTATCTGCATGAAAAAATATAAAAATCCGCGAAAATAATCACGATGTTACAGGTGTCGCGTAACCGTGCACCCCACGGTTGACATCAGATACGACAACAAAGTAAAAAGTGACGTTAAGAAAGAACGGGGACATTATTAAATAAGGGTAGAAGTATTATCTAATGGCAGAAAAGAAAAATATAATTATAATAAGGGGGTGGTGGATGAATTTGCAATATTGATACTGGATCAAAAAGATTATTTATGTTAGATGCGATTTTATATTACGGAAATGAAATGATGTTGCGGGAATTTAAGATTCTGGTTGAAGCTGTAAGATCAAAGAAGATTAATTTTAATTAATTGAAATTTTTATATTAAACTAGGTGACCCGGCAAACGTTGTCTTACAATGTAAGGTATTTCTAAACAATATCTAGAAAATAAAAAAAAACTATTAATTGTAAGTGTGTAAAGATAAAAAAACAATAAAACCTTAAATTCTTCTTGTTTAATATAATATAGTCCATATTAATAATAATCGTTGGATCATATTGTTCTAATACAAGCAATCAATCAAACTGGAAGTTTTACCCACTTCGTGTGAAAAACATGGTATACTATAATCCATTCCAACGCTTTTTTGGTCTTACTACAATTAAATAATATTCATTTAAAGCATTCTATCAATTTTAATGGAACATAAATGTAAATAACGCTTCGACAAAATATTTAAATTGAAAATGTGAATTATCTACGCGGCATTGAAATAATTTCTTATCTTTTCCACAAATATTTCAAGGATTATTACAAATATTTCAAGACTAAAACTGGCCAAATCGGTTCAGCCGTTATCGAGTTTTAGCGAATAGTATCGAGCCCCATTTTTATATATAAGATATATACATAGAATTATATAAGAGATTATATTTTGTATCCGAATCTTGCTCATGACGAGTATATCCGTCAACCACAGGCTAAGTTGCTCTAGTAAGATTTTAGATGATATGGGTTTATTTTACAAAATCGAAATATTTTATTACTGCATTTTACTACTTCCTTTTTAAAATAAATATATATTACATACGTAATTAAGGAACGGGATAAATAAAATGATATATTACACATATAAGTGTAAGAAAGTAAGAATAGTGTTTGATGTTCACAAATTATTTTTAAAATGAACTGTACAAATCTGTACAAAATATTATTTAAATAGCTAAATCTTGATTCTTATTGACAATATACTTAATTATTTCCAGATTTTGGAAAGTTCATGCAACTTGTCTTAAGGTAAAATGCCACTTACCACTAGTACCTAATTTCTACAGTCAAATTCTAAACAACTTGAAATTGCAGAATATATTTTGTTTTCAAAATTAATTTAAATTGCAAATGGCCACTGTTTTATACGTGGAAATACTCGTCAATAAACAAAAGTCTGCCACTTTTTCGTGACGAGTATATTAGTTAATCAAATTTAACTAGTTAAAATGCTGCCCTATTATGTAACAAGAAACTTGGAGAATAATTTAAAATTCTATTCATAACAAAGGACTCTAGTCAAATTCTATGCCAAATAATTACTGTTATAGTATATTAAATAAGTACCCTCTCAGATTGTGGGGTGTATGTGATAATTAACGAATAAAATCGTTAAAAATTATTTTCCTACATCCATGACATTTTATCAATAATGATCAATATTTGGCAGACGAGACATGCTAAGGCACGAATCATGCTAAAAACCTAACTAAATTTACCCCGGGCTATAATTCACCCCTACAGTAAATGTGCGAAATCAATCGTTGGTGATATTACTGAAATTTTGCTAGTGGTGCTCAAAATAAATAATAAAATATAATATAAAAATATATTTTTAATCTGTGATATAATTATCTATCGAATTGACATACAATAATTTATAACTACTTGATTCTACTGCTTATTAGTTATTTTGAACTTTATTTTTAATATTACTAATAAGTAGCTAAACTAGAACAAATATATAAAAATAAGTAACTTCGACGCAGCATTTGTATAATAAGAAAAAACATAAGTAAATGCTCTCATCATAATTTGGAACTTTATATTTACCAACCGTCTCAATAAAATTTAATTTTCTTTTTTGAGTTGTAATAAATGTTTTTTTATTAGCAATCTTGTAAGTTCACTAATGAAAGAAGTCGAATATGTTATATAATAGAAGTTGTGAAAAATTATTTTTATTCATTGATTTATTTTTTATTTTCAGCAAAAATTTAATTCTCAGAACAGAAAAAGATACCAGAATACAAGAACCAACCATAATGAAATTGAGATGCCAAAGAAAAAACTAATCTTTATGTATTTTAATGTTGGTGATAAGGTTTTTGTTGATCAGAAGTTTCATTAGTGACCATTGTTTTTAAAGAGACAAATGTTTGCTTGTCAAATAATTTACCTTATAGTTTTACTCGATTTTTTTGTGTTTCATAAAAGTCTTTATAATGATCTAGTCAGTGTTCAGTGATAGTGCTTTGCTCCCGGTTCCTGGTTCCTGGTATCTGGTTCCTGGTTCCTGGTTCCTGGTCAGCTCTCTTCTGGAAATTCCGAGGTAATGTACAATTTCTTTAGTACAAATCACAATTTTACAATATGTTCAAAAATAATCTTTTTATTCTATTTGTCAGACAACAAATTGGTAATCGGGATGTTCCAGAAGAATTGGCGATTTTAAACAGAGGTCAGTGCATTTTCATTCCTAGGCATGTATTCTAAAGGTACGGTTACACGTCTCACAAAAATAGATTTTTATCAAATTTTATCGATTTTCTACGCCATTTTTTATCTTATTATTCGATGTTTATCGATACTTTACTCAGCTATTTTTTACGAATTGTAAAGTAACAGCAACTTGTCAATGGGCATAATTTTATACTCTCACATCAGTTGCAAAATGTTTGTGAAAACTCTTAGGTGAACAGTTATTATCACGCAAATTGATTACTATTAATTTAGTTCCATAGACCGGTTGAACCGTAAACTAGGTTATAGTGAGGCAATTCCTGTTAGTTATGTTATTAGATTGTTATTAGATTGCCTAATAAATATATAATTGATATTCATTTATATTTTTTTAATTTGCACAAAATTGTAACCGTACCTCTCACTAATCTACAAATTCCTTTCAGCCTAATTAAAGTCTTTTTAAAATACAGGTGTAGAAGGTTTTAAAATTCGCGTAAATTAATTAATTATTAAAACAAAAGTGATAATTAAATCAATTCTGTATAATTTCGCGTAAAACAATGTGTGTGTGAATAACTTGAATCTATTGGGAAGAAATGCTGACGTCCATGCAGCCTGAGAGGTAAGAACAAGTATATGCATCTGGTTTTATTTAATATAGTTATTATTAGGTGATCAAGCTACAGTGTCCAAATAAACTGAAAGTGAGCTTTTTGCGATGCAATGGTATTGCAATAGACATAGAAATTAAAAATTCTGCTTTTATCACACGATTTGGCAACTTTTTCAAAATCCTGATGTTCATGTTTACTGATCTAGAACATCGAGTGACGCTATGATCTTTTTTGTTGGCTATATAAAATTATATAATATAATCAAGTTAAGTGCATCTCAGATTCCTTGTTACTGTTATATTTACTATTAGAAAACTTAGTGATACAAATATCTTATTTTTTGCGTAATAAAGCTACCCCGTCAATTTGACAGGTTTCCGTAGACACAGGTATACCACTTTTTTTTAACTCGTTTTATTTAGCAATCAGAAATACATAAAGATTACTATGAGCTAAAATGACAATATTTAAAAGCGATGCCTAAGAAGAGCTCCAATGAGTTCTTCTCAGTTTAATAATTCATATGATAATATTATATTAGATCTAATCTAAGACTGTCTAAAGGCCATTGTCGTTTCAATCTCCTTATGCCAAAAGGTTGAGTAATGTCAACTATTGATGCGTTCGAATGTGAGTCCAGTTTGCGTTTGTATTTTTCCTTGAATTCTTTGAACGTTAAATTCACCGTTTTCATGTTGAGGTCACTGTGAATAGTTTCATTTGTTACGTACCACGGAGAATTAAGATTGTACGTAGAATTTTTGACTGAGTTCTCTGCATTATAGCTATATTTGATTTGTAAGCACATCCCCAGAGCTCAATTCCGTAGGTCCAGATTGGTTTAATGATTGATTTCTGTAGCAGCTACTTATTTTCAACAGAGAGCTTAGACTTTTTACGCAGTAGCCAATCAAATTCTTTCATTTTGATCATATGAAATACCACATATGAAATTCAAAATTTAGTAAGTTCACTAAAATTTTAATTATATAATATCTATTAATGAAACAATGAATTTAAGACACAATTTGGTATGATTAGTACAATGGTTTTTTGAGCCTTTAATTTCAAAGTCTGACGGTTTCCGTAAACATAGTTAAATCTAGATCAATGAGATTTATGTCAGGTGCATTCGATAGACATTGCCCAGAAAGGTCATCCTTCACACCTCCTCGATCTATTTCTCTCGAAACGATCTATTTCGCAACCCACTAGGGATGCTGTGAGTGCACTAAGTGCGGAATAGAGTTTTGTCATTATTATGACATCGTAATATAACGAATCTCCGTCGCAATATCGGCGAAACGGATCGTGACGAATCAAGAGGCAGCCGTCACGTTCCAAACGATAACGATATAGGTATCCTAGTCAACTCCGACTACTTGCAAAAAATCAACGAACCGACGAAGACGTAGTGAAGGACAAAGAATTCATATGAATTCGACAAGTTCAACTTACTGACTTTAATTGATTATCTCTAAAATATCATGTTTATTAAACAAAACTGCGTCAACCAAGTACAAAACTGTCAGAGAAAATTTTTTAGTAGGCACGAAATCTCATCTTTCTAACGCCACCTGGCAGAATCCGATCGGACTTACACAAGATAATTCAATTAAATGGAGTCTTGCAACCGAATGGTCTAGGTTTGATTTCCATCTCGAACAGCCAAACAGATATTAGGCAGTGATGACATAGGTACAGACATATATATGTCAAGACAATAAACAAAGTCGGCAATAAAATAAAAACAACTAGGAATACGTTTACTTCTGTGGTTATTTTTTTACAAATTACAAGAATGTATTTTAGGGGGTGTACATTAATTACGTAAGGTTTTTAAGGAGAGGGGGATTTGACAAATAATCACGTCGGGGAAGAAGGGGGTATAGTAAGATAACACGTTGAATTTGATTTTTTTTTTAAAAAATCCAAACATTAAAAAAATTAAAAAAAAAAATACAATTTTGTTTGTAACTAAAAATACACGTTATGTTGGTTGAGGGAGGGGGATAATTTTGAATATCACCACGTTTTACCAAAGGAGAGGGGGGTCCAATATTCCTTAAAAAATCTATCACGTGATTAATGGACGCTCCCTTAGTCTCTTTAATCACTTCACCTAGCATAATTGGTTTATATTAGCAATTTTAGTCAAAGGCAATACACTAATAACTAAAATTAAAGCAAAATAAAAACATTTTTATACACTCCTACCTTTTATCCCATAAAAAATATATATTCTTTATCAATCTGTGAATCAAACAGAAGCTGTTGATATATCTCATTCTTATAATAGACATTATGTGCATTTTTTTCTTTGTATGTCCAAAATAACTGGGCCTATTTTGCCTAAAACTAATCAGCTCATCTTTCTATCAGTAAAAATGTAATGTTTTATAAATAATTGGAATCGGTTGATTTGTGCTCTTATAATAGTGGACAAAAATTTGTATCGGAGCATACATAAAAACATACTTCATACATAGACACACACTCTCATACATACATTTTTTCTGAAGTATGCCAAAATGTTCTGTAGGCATAGAATTGTGAAGATGTACAAACATTTTCACTTTTGATTTTTTTTTATTAATATAACTTATCCTACGGAAAGTTAACAAGTGAGTTTTAAAATTACAGGTAAATAATTCTAGTCTTTAATAATTTAATTTGTTTTTCAAAATTTCATACGTAATCCATTATTTAAAGTTTTTTAACTTCATGCCATCAGATTACTATCAATATTGTTCAATATAAAAAATGTTTTTTTGACTAAAAACATTGACGATGGAACGTATCTAGGTTCCGAAACGTAAATATCAAACATTTAGATAAAATTTACTGTATTTAAATTTTTTGAGATTTAGAAAATTTGGAAAGCAAATAAAACAATATTTATTGGCCGACTCTAAAACTTCCTGATTTGAATCAGAAAAAAACCTGATTCAAATCATGATCAGGACACAAAATACTTTGTATATACATATATACATATATATATATATATATATATATATATTTATATATATATATAATACGGAAATGAGATTCTTTTATATGAGTCGTTTGCCAGCACAGATGGCAGACGCACAATCGCAAAAACCTGAAAAGGTGTGAGAGAGGCTGTTAAGCTTTTTGCAATTTTTAAATCCCTCTGAATTGCGATATGGATCTCCCTATAGGTCGTATTTTATTTAGGAATATTATATTTTTTCTTTTGGATGCAAACGATGCTAACTTTTGTTTTGAGAGCTAAATCAGAGAGCGAACGCTTCTCTGGGATAATGATAGCATTTAAATCGCTAGCGATATCACTGACACTTAAAATGGAGGAATGGATCCAGTAAAACATTATAATTTAAAGATATAGATTGGAATTAATAAAATTTAATTATTTTTATTATATTTTACCACTTTACACACTACTTTTTTTACATTTAAACAAATACCAAAATAATTTCTTGGAGATACAGGAATAAATTAATAAAGAAAAGTTTACATCAGATATACTCTTCTGGGATTTTGATAAAACTTTGCATGGCGATAGAGTTGATAGTCAAACCAAATATCTTAAAATATTATAGGCCTATAAGAACCGGTTTAATTATAAAAATTAAATAAAGTTTTGAAAAATTAGCCGCGCGCTGAATAATAGTACGCTTACAATTTCTCAAGCAATAATATCTGTGGATCAATTACTATTTATCACTCAGAATTAATTCCAAAGTCTGAAAAATTCAGTGGAAATTTACTCTGTCCATATTTTGACAACCTTTCCATCAAAATAATTATAACACCCAGTTGTGCATTTTGCTGTTTGATTCATTCCGAGAATGACGATATCATGTAGATATATCATGATTTCTGTAATGATTGTTATAACTGCGTAAACTTTATACGATTCATCTGAGTTTCTGTATTTCGTAATGATGTCAATATCGGAATATCAGAACACCGTTTTGATTGAAATTTATTCAAAGTATTTTAAAAGTCGTGATATAGAGATGAATCTAATACGACGAGAGAAATGGATCTGGGGTAGCTTTTAATGATCATGAACGCGAGGAATTATTAAGATAGTAGATAAATTTGTTTGAATGGTAGTTTAGATTAATCATTTACTATTACTGATAAGGTCATTATGTTATATTAATGTACATTTACTAAGCAGGTCATTATGTTACATTAATGTACATTTACTAATAAGTTTCAATTCTGAAACGTTCTTGAAAAATTAAAAACTGTTCGAAAGATATTGGTTGGGAATCAGTTTTAGGTAAAAATCGACCATTTTCTCGAAATTAACTGCTGAAAAAAAATTTGCTTTTTTATTGAACCTTTTTTTGGCAATAGATATCAAGGTCTTATAAAACATACTAAAATGTTACATCCCTACGACAAATAGTTTAATGTTAAAAACTCATCAAAGTTTGAGAAAATATTATAGTCAAAATATCCATCAGATGTGGCTTTTGTGATGTGATATGTCAAACATTATCAATTCATTACAATTTAGAATAATAAGCTACAATTTTAGGGCAAGCGATAACTTTATTATTGACATAAACAGTTCAAAATTTTATCTAAATTTCAATTTCGATTGATTAAGTCAATTCTTACACAATTCGGGAAGTTCATGCCACTTGCCTTTTAAGGCTAAATGCCACTTTCAACCAGTTTAATTATAACCCATTGCCGTTATTGATCTAAATTCAAATAATGACGTGGCATAACAAGTGCACTATTACTAATCATGATTAGTAATGAATGCGGTATAAATATTCTAAATTGATGAAAAATAAATTATAGCTTAGGTATATATTTTTTTATAATAATAATTTTTTTCAGCTTGTTTTTAACCATAATTATTTAGAGTATGGTTTTACAATTTGAAGTTAAAAATTACCTGTATTTTTATAAAAATTTTACTTACTTTAACGTTGAAAGGCGATTAAAAAAACAGTGGTTTTAAAAATAGTTTTACTAATTCCAAGATCCTA